TATTTTTATTTGTATGAACTACCTATTGTAAATTATAGTTATAAATAAATTAAAATAATAATATTTTTAAGACGAGATAAATATAAATGCATAAAACAAAATTAAATAAATAGATAAAACGTGAAAACATTGTTGGGGGTCAACGAAAACTGCCCCTTGTGGTGGTCTCTCCACCCTGGTAATGCTAAATGTTTCTCTAAGTATAATTTATGAAGAACTATATTATATACCATAAAAAAAGTCAAAAAACTATAGACCATTTTTCTTCCACTGACACTTTAAAATATGAATTTGTGTAGGAACCTTTCATCATTTTCTGGCCAAGAATATATTTAGCTCTATGCCTTACAGATATGACTTCAAATATAAAATTTGTTTAAACTTTAAATTAAAATTATTGCGATAAACTTAATTTTTTTTGGGAAATTTTAATGTAATAACTTCAAATTAAAATATAAAATACAAATTATCGTCAGTTTTTTTATGTATATCTTTATATATATATATAATTCTACTGCAGTACGTGTGTTGTGACTGAGCTCCTCCTAAACGGTTGGACCGATTTGAATTAATTTTTTTTGTATGCGTTTGAGTGACGCCCAGGATAATTTAAATTCACAAATCATCTCCCTAGGTCCAACCAGGGAATGTGCTCAAACGGGGATTTAGAGGTTTACGGTGGAAATTTTTGTTTATAAATGGTTGCCATGGGTTTTAAAGCTATTATAATAATAATAATTATTGGTTGCCGTGAAATGAGTGTATTCATTCAATGCATTTAATTTTTTTGTACGCTATGTTTTGAAATTATATGTATCGCAATTACGTAAACATTGAGAGTATATAATACTCACATATAAGTTACATACATAAAACAATGCCACGTCTTCGTGGACAGGAAATATTGGTCGACAGACCAGCCGTTTAGGAGGAGTTCAGTGACATACTTGGTATAACTTTGATACTTTAGAGTTAAATTATAAAGTTACGTACAAACAGCACGGGGTCCGCGATCTACAATAGGTAGATTGCCTACCTGATAATGTACTGCTTTAGGTTAGGTTTTTAGGTCAGAATTTTTATCCCCGGCAACGGAAGAGTTAAGATAAATTTTGAACACCATACACCGAATATTAAATAACGAATTAAACAAAGTTCGAGTTATATAGGGTTGGTACATTTAACGGGAAACGAAGTGCACGGGATCAGGTAGTATATTTATATATATTATTAATGTTAGAAGTTTTATACACTTATATATTATTATGCTTATATTATAATATAAGAATACATATAAACATTAAATAATTGGTGACATAATTTCTTACACCAAATAAATATATATAATATTTAAAAAAAAGTGGGTAAGTTTATGTCACTCTACTGTACAGAAGGTTACAAGTGGGTCAACGTATTAAACTTGAATTCAAATATTCAATATAGGTATATCATTGTATAAGAAAAACGATTCTGAGCGGAGATGGTTTGTCAGTCTAGTTATTGTTATTATTTATTATATTCTGTAAGTTGAATATATATTATAATAGGTATTTTTATTTTTTATTCATTTCTATGGTGATAACTGATAAACAAAGCGTTAGAAATTAAAACTCCATTTTTAGCGGTTTTTCGTAATTTGTCGGTGGTTTTTCCTGTGGCATTAAATAACTATTAAGAAAAATGAAAAATGACCTTTCTAAAGTACCATCTTGATCCAATTTTCTAAAAGATAAGATACTATATGTTGAAATCGAAGCACTCATTCTGGTAGATATTTTGTATACAGGATATATATAAAAAAAAAAAAAATAAACACCATTGTAAAACCAATAACTTCCTCTCTCCGCTCAGAATCTATAATATTTATATTTATATTTGTTTTTATATTATTTTTATTTTTATTTTTATATTTGGAGTAAAGAAGACAAGATTCTAGTTCAAAAAAAATTTTTGTTGGAAAATGGAAATTAACTTGATTTTTTCTTTTTGGGGAAATGAAGGGTGGAAAAAGGGTAACTCTATTTTGGAGGGAAATGGTTACACCTGAATATAATTATACTATATTAACCATAACCACCGTCGCATACTCGCATTATCATTGTAGCGGAAGTCCTCCTGTCACTCTGCGAACGGTATATTATGGCCTATGGGTACCGCTATAGTATTTTGTGGTACCATATTTGTATATTATAATATTATAAACACTAGTAGTGTTAACGGAAACAGTTGTATTCAAACGTTCAAATGTACTAAAAAATATTTTTGTTTTTACGTCTCCGATTATGACGCGGACGAGGGTACACGAAATAAACGACGGACTACGGAGGAGGGTGGGGAGGAAACGTTGGGTATTATAATATGATTTAGTGTAGGCTGGGCGCTGGCAGGCACAGACATCGACGCGCGGTACAATAATATACTCAAAGTGTAATAATAGAATAATGACGATAATAATAAACCTCGAGCAAGCGGGATGCCGCCCCGCAATCAGCAGGAGCTGAAGTTTATATACCGAAGCAGGTGCGCGCGCACGACGTAAAATATACATAATAGTAATAATAATAATAATAATCATAATAATAATATAATATTATGTCGTCGGCGCGTAGTAAAAACAGAGACGTATATACCTACATTATTATTATTATTATTATATTATATATTTAAAGACCGATCGGCGGCGTCGGCGTCGGCGGCGGCTCACAAAGGCGCGGGATCAGGGCGGCGGCGGTGGCTGTGGCGGCACACATCAAAACCTGTTGGCTCGTGGCTAACCCCCCGGCCCGCCGCCACACCGTTCTTTGATGAGCTTTGCCGATCACCGGACGCCGCCGCTGCCGTCTGTACAAAATAATAATAATAATAATATGTAATATAATATTTATAACGCGTAGAGTATCTATAAATATAACAGAAAAACGGTGGGAAAATAATATAATATATGTCTTAAATCTTAATACAGTCCATATTATTATAATATTTAACAATAATATTGTATCATAATCGGTGTTTATCAGTGTTTAGTATAATATTATAATTCATAACCCTAACGCCATTTATACAACATGTTGTATTTTACAACCATTGACATCCGAGACAGAAAATATGAATTTCGAATCTACGGAAGTGTGGACTGTGGAACACTTGCCATTAGATAATATTATATAGTAATAGTTAACATCATTTTACAATATTATACGCAATTTAGACCATTATAATATTATTGCACACAATGATCAATATAAATACTATACTATGTCAATTAATTGAAAAGTCAGTTGTTCTAGTTCAAAATATAATGCAGTTATTATAGTGCAGTTTTTTTAAATGTAATACTGTGACTAATGTCTAATAGTCAAAGCCCCCCTTTTACATACTGTAATTCAAAAATAAAGATATCTACTATACATGTAAGTAGTTATTTATTTATTTAGTCATTTGTTCTGTATTTTATCAAACCAGAAATTACAGAAATTCATAAAAAATATTTGCACAATGCAACAGGTGAAAACAAATGTCAGCTTATGCGTATAAGCATAATATTGTTGTGACGAATAGGATTTCAAAATATGCACTTTTCTAACAAATACAGGAGTTTGGTCCAAATATATCTGATGGTTTCGAGCTCATGGTAAGACTATAGTTAGTTCTTTTTCGAAGACACGTGTCTCATAATATTATACTGATGTGTTAAATAATTAATGATAGGTACCTACTTCGAGTAAAATAGTTTTTTTTTTTTATATGCTAATTGTATATTATATCGAGTTGTAAATATATTTTTGCAAGTTTGTGTTTTTTTATAGTTTGCAATAGATATAATAATATGTTTTCTGGTTTTCATTACAATATTATTATATTACCGAAGTTGTTATCGAGTTTGTTCAGTTTGACATTTAACTTACAAGTTTTACAAGATATAGTAATTTCATCATATTATTTTAATATTGGCGTATATAGATAGGTTTGTCCTAACAAGTTATGTCTTGACAAAACCAGGTGCTATATTATTAGGTATATGGCATATTTATAAGATGAATTTAAATATGTATATTTAATGTTCATCCTTCGAATACGAATCGAAAAATTATTAATGTTTGTAATTCACACGCGCAATTCACATTCTTAACTGATGTATTGATTATGTTCAGTTCAGTTCAATACTAAACGTCCAAACGTGTGAATATACTGAATCACGAGTTATAACTGTTGATCAAAGTTGAAATCATTCTAAACGAAAAACGATACTTATAAGGTGTATAATGTATATAGACATAAATAGTAGTTCAGTGATAATTCGCAAAATAAAGTAAAAAAATATTTTTTGTTATTAATGGTTGTTATGGGATATGTCCATAAATAAATAAACAAACGCGTCGTTTCATTTTTCGTTACCTATTTTTCCACCCACCCCTCAAGAAAGAAATTTACTTCAATAAACTATTTTTTTTTAAATTATGGAAGTTAAATCTTAATAGTATACATAATTTCAGATCGAAATTGATATAAAAACTTTATTTACCCTATACAAATACTTAAAAGGCCATTATTTGCTAAATAAAAAAATAAGTCATTATCACCAGAAACGTCGATGAGACAGGCGTTTAAATCGTCAAACTTTACGGTTTTGCCGGCTTCGTACAATAATAATGTAACCTTAATATTAATAATAATCTCGGTGGCAGTGGCACAGAATTCAGTGGCGATAAAACATACCTAGCGTTACAATGTTTACAATCATCATCATGGTATTATATATTATAATACAGTGAAACCCTGAAGCAGATTCAGTGACCGAGGTCCAAAAATGTCCAGTATTTATAGGTTTTGGTGTATCCGTGTATTATAATATCGGGTAATAACGAAAGAAAATTATGAAACTAAAATTTTTCCCAAAGTCTCTAACATATTGTACATATATTATTATGTCAATATATGTCCTATAAGGCTATATTGCGTGTTATACTACTTATACTTATATAATAATATAATATGCTCACCTGTGAATATGCCCTCGGTGTCTTCACATTTCCACACTGTCAAGCCCATATCCACGTAGAACATGAACACGGGGTGGCCGAACTTGTAGGCTGGGAACGGGTCGAGCACGAGGAACGCGTCATGCGGCTTGCCGGTGAGCTGAGCGTCGCTGTCCAGGAGTACGGCGACAACGGTCTCGTTGCGGGGCAGCAGTCCGCCGAAGTACAGGCGCACGTCCTTGGCTGACATGTCGGAAAGCTCGTGACACTTTACCGGTTCGTATGCCTCGTAGCAGTTGTGCGCCACCAGCCGGTTGAACGCGAGGTCGGCAAGTTCGTACACGACGTCCGCCCTCAGTGCGGCGGCGGCGATCGAGGCGGCGGATTCGGTGGTTGTAGATGTACTGGAGGTGGAGGGGGAATCGTCCGAGGCTGAATCGTCCGATGCGGAGGCGGAATCGGCGGAAGCGGAATCGGTGGCCCAGACCAACAGCAGCACGGCCAACGCGGTGGCCGCGTAACGTCCAAGTCGCGACGACCTAGACTTCATGACGACGATGGTGATATTATTATATGAGCGATCTCGCCGTGTGCGAGACGAACGTTATATTTTAAACCGTGACGAGCCGGTGATGGAGTTCGATTGAGCTCAGTCGGATTTACTCCGGTGGGTGTCGACGGCGGTGGTGATGCGTTATGGGTGTGCACAACTGCAGCGGTCGGTCGTAACGGTTCGCGAGGCGGTATGCTTATGCGGCGGGACGGCGACGTTTTCTGGCTGGCCAAGGGCGGTGCGCGCGCGCTCTCCGTCCGCGGGGTGGAGGTGGTGGTGGGAGGAGAGACGTTAAGAGTTATAATACACATTATATATTATATTATGTTATTATTATTGTATATTATTATCGTCGTGCGCAGCGTGCGTTACCCAACCCCCACTGCAGTCGTGGTATATATACTACCCCGATTCGGCCACGGACCCCTGTCGTCGTGTGTGCGTGCGTTTGTGTGTGTCTATGTGTTTTTTGGTGTGTATGAGTGTGTGCGCGTGTTTGTGAGTGTGCGTGCGCGTTTCGTACAGGGGCGGAGTTTCGGTTTACAAGCGCGGCGAGAGATCAAAGGAGCTCGCCGCCGACTCGTTAGTGGGGCACACACACACACACACACATCACCTGAGTATATATTATATTATATTTGTGTGTGTGTACGCTCACAGGTAAATCCGGATAGAGACCGATTTCTAATTTCCTCTCTCTCTCTCCCTAATTCTTACATTTCCGTCTATGTCTCTCGGGCCTAATATATTATATTATTATATTATATATAGGTACGCTCTCCGGCGTCGTGTGATGTTGCGTATATAGTATGTACAACGCGCGTCTGTGATAGTATGTACCTACATAAGTCCGTCTCGTTCTATCGCTATTCATCAACAAACGCCGCCAAAAAGACGAGTGTACACCACAATAATATTTATATACCTACGCGTATAATATATAATACCTCCGTACCTTTTTTTTTTTTACTTCACTCCACCGTTCTAATCTCTTTTGAGCCGAGCCGCACTTGCACGGTCGTTTAATGTTTTTGACGCCCGGTGCCGATGAAAAAACATATATCCGATTTCTGTCACGCACGGCAGTGGGGCTTTAAACGGCCCGCCACCGTAGGCCGTACTATAATATCATAATATATACGAACCCCTTTTTCTGGAAATTAATAAATATAATAGCATAATATTATATTATCATATATTTTGTACGAGCCGCCGAAATCACAATAGCGTTGTCCGTTACCACGAAAAATATATCATTATTATATTATACCTCGGCTATACAGCGGTAACCTATGTGTGAGCGTATAAACTATAATATAGGTACATCAAGCTTTGCCGTGCCGCCGCAGTTTATTACGAGCGATGATATTATTCTTGTCAGATTTATTTTTTGTGTATCGGCGGAGTATCTACTGCTCTTTTAATCTTTTCCACCGCTTTGTCGGGTACGTCGACGTACTTTATAAGATATATATATAAATATTATACAGAATATACAGATATTTTTTATAATGCACTACTATTGGGTGATGATTTGATAAATATAATATCTCAACAACAGCACTCCGCCATACTCCGTGTAAAAGTCGCCAAGCATAAAAAAAACGACTATAAGTTGTGATACCATTTTATAGGTAGCTAAATATTTGAACTATAGCTGATATCATTTATGTTAAAATAATCTGCTAAAAAGTTGATAAAATAATCAAGCTAAGTTCAATTTTTCAGCAGATTATTTTAACACAAATGATATCTATAGTTCAAAGACTTGGCCACCTATAAAATTATATCACAACTTTTAGAGCCGTTTTTTTACACTTAATAAATCTATTATTATAATTGTATATATTACTAGCTGATCCCGTTCACTTCGTCACCCTTAAAAAAATTGTGATTGTTCAACTCTTTTTGGGTGCAACTCAGCCTCCCTGGTATAGGCGATCCGCCTACCCCGGATCGCGGACAATGTGCGACAGCATATCAAGTAGGCAATGTCCGAAAATTTGATTTGATGTATGCTTGCACCTGATCTGACGAATTAACCAATGGCAACTGAATAATAAATACTAATTTCTACTAATTATTTCTCTTATAACTAATAGCAAACATTTATAAACAAAAATGTACACCCTAATCTCAAAATCACCGTTCGAGCATCTCCCCTGATAGGGGTAAGAGGGTGAAAAATACTTTATGATCTATTCTCATACCTACCAAATATACGAAAAAATGTCATTAAAATAAGTCGATCGGTTTCGGAGGAGTGCGACCACAAACACCATGGCACGAGATTTTTAATTTTTTATATACTATAGATATTGATACTATAGTATTGATATAGATACTATAGATCTATTGTATAATAGATAATATTATGTATAATCAATGCAAAGACTTATCACGTTATCAGGGTACGATAGTCATACATAAAGTGACATGCCGCATTCCGGCTATATGTGTCAATTTTCAATACAGGGCTGTGGCGTATTTAGGGGGGAGGCAATGGGGGGCAATGGTCATGGGCAGCACTTTATTGGGGGCAGTAAATTTTTGTGGAAGCGATCTGCTTTTACATAATATATGAAATATATAATGTTTAAAAATATAATATTATAATACATATTGTATATTGTTTGTAAATTAAAATTATTATATACCTATTCTGCGTGAACAACTAAATATTGATAATAATAATAATATCCTAATTTATAGATATGACTACTATTATATTATATAATATTAGTCTGGAATCTAGTAAGTAATATAGTCATGTACTCATGTCATATAAACATATTCTGACATTTTGTCGAAATTTACAATAGTTTATTGTTTGTTTTTAGAAAAAAAAATTGAACAACATTTAATGCATTATACAATATACTTAACTATAAATTGTTATAAATATTGAAAATAAATTCGTGGGGATCTAAGTTTTTGCGCTAATAAAATATAGTATAGAGCAAATGCCAACCTTGTCCCCCCAAATTACGCCACTGATAATATAATATATATACTGTATATATTATTTATCGACGATCGGATAAAGTGTATTTGTCATTAAAACATAATATTATATTGCAGGTATTATTCAACGTTTACTCAAATATTTGTAAACAAAATTATATTATAGGGTAGGTACATGGCATAATATATATTATTATACATTTGTACACAATTCACATTTTTTAATCGTTATCAAACATTAAACTTTAAATGTATGTCATATGTTTCTATCCAGTGCTAATTATTATTTTTATATTTGCTTAGATTTTGTAGGTGTTTAATTTACCGGTCCGAGATTCTACGCAGATCTCCAGGATCCAGGATACTATTAGTCTTACACTTTTACCATTATTGTATTATGTACATTTTTCGTTATACTCTAGTGTGTTTCTATGATTCTATATATAAAACACTTTACTGGTCCTAGAGAGTACCTACACAATAGATTTACGGAGTACATCAGTCTACAATAGTTGCATTCTATTAACCTAACGCGTTTGTAAGACGAGACGACAAATCACAAAAAGTCTCTCTACTAATGTGAAAATCAGCCATCATATTACACCTAGGTAGTTCAGTAGTATTAAGTATTAACACCATCAAGTCATGTGTATAACTGTATGAGGTATGTTATGAATATCACTACAACTATTTATCCAGGGGTAAATTTAGGATTTTCACGAAGGGGAATAGAAAATTAATTTTTAGTGGCCCACTTCACTTGATAACAATACACGTAATTAACTTAGCTACATTTTTTTTTCAGGAATAATTCCTCTCTACCTCATTTTCATGAGCTTATAATTGTATTATAGTAGCATTTATTATTTTTATTTACTGGATAGTATAGGGTGTTCAATTAAGGTGGTCCTTATTTTTAAATTTTAAATTTTTGTGACCGATCCCTCTAATTAGGTTCCAGTATGTATAAAAATTATGTATAGGCAACTTGAACATAATTAGATAAGTTTAACCGGCACCCTAAACCCCGCAACAGTTTAACATTACCAATATTTTAAGGAAAAAACAAATTTTAATTTCAAATTTTTAATTATTATATTTTTCAGACAAACTTTGCTCCGTGACAATGTTTTGAACATTTTTGCAACTGTTTCAATTATAACATTTGTTCAAAATAACGCATCAAATAATGTTCAGAACGCGATTGAATGGAAACGGGCATTTGGAAATTTAAAATCGATGGCATAAATGTATTTTAACAGGTTTTTTTTTGATAATTTTTAAAATGAATTGTTAGGTTCTGTTAACATACATATTTTTCTTATAATAATATAAGTCTACTAGTAAATATAAAAAAGTAAATATTTTTTCAAGTCCGATAATGTTATGTTACGAGCATATTAATGCAAATATTTATTATTTAATGTTTTAATGTTTTTTTTTTTATCAATCTGGTGCTGTTATTTTTTTTTTATTTGGTCAGCATCAAATCCAAGTTTGCTATAATTTTGAATGCATAATTAAAAATTACTTATATCAAGTTGATTGCATACAATATATTAAATTTTTATTTCGCAGCCTAATTATATAATAAAATATAACTTACACACTGGATATTAGCACACTATGCTATTTATGTGTCAATAACAACATATTAATACTTATCTTTTTAATTCAAACAATTATGTTGAAGGTGTACCGTATACATGGCTTTTGTAAATAAAAAATATTAATCCAATACAAAATAGTATAACTGAATATACTTCATAAACCGATATAGTATAACTTAATAACCTTTATAAACCAATAGTATAACTTATAACTTATGAGTAAAGAAAGCGGTTTGCCTGGTTATATCTATCATGTAATTTTACTTTTTAGGACCACAAATATGGCAGTTAACTGCAGATGTGTTAACACACATGATAACATTTTTTTAAGCAAAGAAAACTGAATAAATTAATAGAAATGAATAATAACAATAAATTATAAGTTGTATACTTATATTATATTATATATGTTAAATAATTTTT